TTCCCTACATAACTGCATATTAATTAAGGTTGAGATTGTGTCAGTTATTTTCAGTAAAAAACACAGCGGTCACAGACAATAAAAATGTAATAGACACTCACAACCTGTCCATGACTTTTACTGGAAATAATGGGGGGGTGGGAGTACAGGGAAGGGTGAGTGGCTAAGAAATCATGGAATCTGAAACCTCCATGACTAAACTGTATCTTTAATGATCCAGGCAGCATGGAAATACTTATAAATTCATAAGGCTAGATCCCTACACAAGCTGTGCAGCATTAGACTTCTGAATACCATGCTGCAGTAAGGATGCTCTAATTTAATGCTCTGTCCATTTAGCTTCTTAAAACTCCAAGCTCTGAAAAACAATTTCCTGTGTAACCCACTCACTTTGCTCGTCTCTCTTCCTGCATCTGGGGTTTTGTTCTTTGAGCCTTGTCCCCCATTCGAGTGCCCTCCAGCTTCCCAACCAAGGAGAGCACTTCCCCTGTAGGCTCATCTCGCCTGGTCCTGTCGATCAAGGAGCGATCAGCTTGCAGTACAAGATTAGAATTCTGAAAGGGATAACATCACAAGAGCAGATAAGAGGTGTGAAGAAATCAAACAAATTCCTATACATTATCCTCATTACTGTGGTGCCTAGTGTCATAAGCCAAGACCCTGTGGTGCCAAGTGCTATACAAACAAAAGACAATCTCTGCTCCCAAAAGCTTACAATCCAAGTATAAAACTAGGAACTCCTCATGGATACAACTAGCACAGCTTAAAGAATCAATGAGTTAATATTGACAATCAATAGTGGTCTCAGCACACTAGCAATCAAGCTTTTTGTAGGCCTCACGGCAAAAAACAGTTTTGAGAAGGGATCTGAAAAGAAATGAGGTAGCTTTGCAGATATTTATAAGTAGTGTCACAAGGAAAAGGGTCAGTACAGGGAAAGCAGGGCAATGCTTGCCTGGAAATTTAAGAAGTCGATGGTAGCAGTAGCCAACCAGAAGTAGGAATCAACTATTCAAGAGCAAATTAGAGGGAGAGAGGGAAATGACTTCAAACGCCTAGAAAGCATATACAAGTAGCTTATACACTTCAGAAGGTAGTCATGTTAGTCTGTAACTGAAAAAAAAAAATGTAAAAAACAATAATCCTGCAGCACTTTAGAGACCATCTATATTTTTTGTTAGTTGCTAAAGTGCTGCAGGACTCTGCTTTTTAATTTTTTTTACCAGTAGCTTATGTTGGATATAATAAAGAAAATTAACCCAGTGAGGGATGCAAAGAAAGGAATGGTATGACAAACTGGGGGCTTTTATTCACTTTATGATGTCGCATGTGAATGCTACTGTCCTATGGTAATCCCATGTGTGTGCCTCAGTTTCTCACAGCACTACATCAATACCTAGATAGCGAAAATACAACCCAAAATTCCCATAGCTGAAGGCAGCTACCCCAGCTGCCTACATGTACACAATGGCTGAAGCCCTTTGTAACCTAAGCGGGGTGGGGGAGAAAGAGCACCTGCTGCCCAGGAAGCAGGACAAAAACTGGAGAAAAGGCCAAGCTGGGGACTGGGACAAGACTGCTGGGGATGTAGATTAATCTCAGCTATTTTAGGGAAGCAGGGGGATAGTGTTCCCTGTAGACTGAGTGCTTGGGCAGCTGCCCAGCAGAGATTCAGATGCTGCCCAGCTGATTAGCAGAGTGCCCACAGCATGTGTTTCTATTGGTGGTGCACATCTGCACATTTCTCAGTGCACATACATTTATTTCACTCAACAATGGAAAAACTTAGCGGGAACCTTGCAGGGGGAGGCCCTGGCTCTGCCCTCCCCCCCACATGACAGATTGCAATAACTGCTTCTGGTTGCTCTGCTGACAAGCCTGTTCTACGCTATGTCCCTGTTGCCTAATAAATCATGGGGCACTGGGACAAGGGTGCTATGGTAATACTGGCCCAGTCTGAGGTGGTGGCACCAGACCTGATGATGCCCAATGCCCACCTGACTTTGACATGCATAGACAGGACCCCATTCAAGGTACCCATAGCAAGAGTACCTGAAATGGGGGGGCTAAAAGGGCCCAAAAGAGGTGGAGGTGCACCATCACTTGCCCACTGGGGTGCTGATGGGGAGTGATCTGGAAGAAGGACCCCACAGTGTTCTGGTCACTACCCTTAGCCAAAGCCAGCAAGAGGCACTCTGCCCTGGTGAGGGTAACCTGAAGGGGGCACAGGGCCCTACACTGGCAGAAAATTCCCAACAGCCAGGCTTGGCATTGCTGTGATGTCAGACCCAGGCTGTGAAGGGGAACAGGTCTCCATCCCTTCCCTGGCTGCTAAACTCAAGGCTGAGTTGCAGAAAGATCCCTCCTTACAGAAGCTGAGGGACCTGGCTGGCCTCAGTGCAGCACAACTGCTGGGGGAAGAATGCAAGGAGAGGTTCCTGTGGTTGAAGGGATTCCTGAACCGGGAATGGATTCCATCCCCAAGGGAAGTGGAGTCATAGCAGGGGGTGGGGGTCCAGCAGCAGTAGGTGATTCCCAAAAAGTACCTTGGAAGGCTACTGTACCTGACCTGTGACATCCCACTCTCGGGAAACCAGGGTCTCCAGCACACCAGGCAGTGGCTGCTACAGAACTTTTACTGGCCTGGAATCTTTGATGCTATCCAACAGTCCTGCAACCCTTACCACAGGATAGGGAGGGCCCAGGACAAGGGGAAAGCCAACTTGAGGCCTCTGCCAATCATAAGAGGAGCCTTTCCAGAAGATGGCTAAGGATATAGTGGGACATTTCAGGAAAGCCACCCAAACTGGGAAGATTTCACTACTCACTACTCTGAGGCAGTGGCTCGGTCTTCTATTGAGGCAGACACACTGCTAACCATTTTCAGCAGAGTGGGGTTTCCCAAGGAGGTCCTTGCAGACCAAAGGTTCAACTTTATGTCAGCCCTGCTCTGGTGCTGGTGGGAGAAGTTTGGGGTGTGAAATACGCAGCCTCAGCAGGCTGGGGCGAGGCTCAATAGGACACTAAAGCAGATGCTAGAGACCTTTATGCACCAGCACCCACAGGGCTGGGACAAGTCTTTACCCCACCTGCTGTCCACGGGAGTCTCCCCGATTGAGCGCGAGGCCCCTGGACCTGCTGAGGGAGCAGGCGGGCAGGCCTCCCCCGATGGGGAACCGGAGTGAGGAATGTACCGGCCGCCCGAGAAAAGCTCGGCAGAGCCTAGTCGTCTCCCCCAAAACCGGGCGCCCGCGCCCCTCTCCGGGGACTGCTCTCCCCGCCCCCACTCACCGCCTTGTATTCGTACTGCAGGCTCCGCGCGGTCACATCAGCCATGGCGCCGCCTCAGCTACCCGGCCCCGGCCGCGACCAAGCGGAAACGCAGCACCGCACGCACGTCCGAACCAAGGCAGCAAGTACTTCCGGAACACCCCGGAAGTGCTGAAGAACGAGCCGTTGCTTCTCAAGAGGCCCTCTCGCCCATACGTCATCACCCCCGGTCAGGGGGCCATGCGATATTACGTCATGGGTCCGCCCCCGAAGAGCTGGCCCTGGCCCGAACACGCCCCGCGTTGCCTAGCGACGGGCCGGGCTTTGTGTCCATCAGGCGTGCGCGTGCTCAGATGGCAGGAAGCGCCCACGTGGCCCCCGAGGCGGATCAGCTCCCGCTTGCAGGGTGGGCAGAGTTTCAATGCGCATGGCCCCAGGGCTCCTGGCCCCCCGGAGCATTGGTCTGGGCGGGGCAGGACTCCTGGCTCCCCCGGAGCATTGGTCTGGTCTGGGCGGGGCAGGGCTCCTCCTCTTCGCGGTTTTGTTTGGATGCGAAGAAGCTGGCGGGGGATGCAGGGAAGCGCGCTGCGCAGCGGTGTCCTGCTGGGCGCAGTGCGGGTGGCGGGGCGCAGGGGAGCCGGCCTGCTGGAGTGCGGGCGAGGCGGTGCTGGCTCCTGGGAGGGGTAACTTTCAGCTGAAACAGAGCCCATGCCCCTTAGCCCTTTTATTGACCTCTCGTAGCCCCAGGCAACAGCTGGGCCATGGACATTCCGGGTTCGCAGGTACAGCCCAGAACCCAGGCCCCAGCGCAGGTACAGCTGAGAAGCCAGATCCTGGGGTGGGTACAAATGAGCATCCAGCGCAGGTGTAGTCGAGAACTCAGGGTGGGTACGGCCCAGAACCCAGACCCTGGGATAGGTACAACTGAGAATCCAGGGCAGGTATAACCTAAGACCCCAGGCCCTGCGGTGGGTACAACCCAACCCAGAGCCCGGGGTAAGTACAGTTGGGAACCTAGGGTGGGTACAGCCAAGAACCCATGTAGATACATCTCATTAATCTCTGTATTAATTATTTTCTCATTGACATTTTTATCAATTGACTCTGTATCAAGTCCTTTTAGCATTGTATTACGTCTTTAGCTTTGTTACATTAAGTCCTTTTATATAGAAACTTTGTATACTTTCATATAGAACATAGAAACTTTGTATTAAGTCTTTTTACATAGAAACCTTGTATCTTGTAGACTTTGTACCCCGTTTTGCGTAATTGATTGTCCTATTGAGTGAATGAGGTGTGAATGGATAAGGCATGAAAGACAACCACCTCTGGACACTTGCAAAGGTTGGAGAGGGGTGGAAGCCAGATCCAAGAACAATGAGAAGAACAATGGGATCTGTGAAGTGGGCTCATTGAAAGATGAGTGGACATATGGACACTTTGGGAGTCAGCAGCAAGTGCCAGCTTTTGGAAGCACCCTCTTTGAAGGAGAATGTGGCAGCATTGAGACACCACCCAAAAGAAGGTGCCACAGATGTCTTAACTGCATATGAAGCAAAATGCAGGACAATGTAGCACTTTAAAGACTAACAAGATGGTTTATTAGATGATGAGCTTTCGGAAGTGGGTCTGGCCCACAAAAGCTCATCATCTAATAAACCATCTTGTTAGTCTTTAAAGTGCTACATTGTCCTGCATTTTGCTTCAACTACCCCAGACTAACACGGCTACATTTCTATCACTTAACTGCATATGCATATGATGACTCTTACAGATGATGCATATGCATGTGATGACCAACTGGTGGAGATCTGCAGGAGAGGGAAGACACTATAAATCTAAGGCATCTTGCAGAGGGACCCTGGGTTTTTGTCTTGTCAACATGGGAGCACCTAGCCAGATCTGCAGAAGCCCTCTACCCCTCCCCCACCTAACTCACCTGGCCAGTGCAGTTAGAGGGAACAATTATTGGTAACAACAAGAAGATGGGGTGTGCTTGTGTTATCATATGCATATGATAAGTGTTGATTGATATATGTGCTACCAATAAATATGGTGTTTTGCCTTTTTGCCCTGAAAAGATCTCATGCAGTACTCTTAAGGACAACACCCATGCCCTGAGTAGCACTCGCTAGACAAGGGGCATGGGTTCCAAACCCAGTCAAATTGAGAGAGACTGGGGACGGGTCTTTGTACCTGATGGTGGGGCTTTGTCTGAGGGCCTGAACAACACTGATTGTTCCCCTCCACTTTGGAATATCAGAGTTAATTTGGATTCTATTAGGAATCTAGTTGTGAGGTGTGGAGTCAGTTTCATTATAGGCTAGTAGAGTACTAGTGCTAAGGCTCATCTGCTATGAGCTGAAATCACTGTGTGCTGTGGGGAGCCTGGTGCTGGGCTACTAGCAGAGCAGCTTGCAAGGAACAACCAGCAAGTGCAGGTGGACAGCAGAGTGCTTTGCTGGGGTGACCTGCAAGTGCGGGCTGACGGGATGACTTGCAGGCTGGTGGGATGACCTGCAGGCTGGTAGGAGCGGCAGCTGTGACCTGGCTGCCAGGAGCATGGACTGAGACCAGCTGGCAGCCAGGAGCATGGACTGAGACGGTTGGCAGAGCCGGACAGTGAAGGCGGCTCACTGGACGACAGGCGGAGCCACCACCGGACCAGGTAAGGTGCATCGATGCCCATCCCATGCCCACCCCTCCAGGTTGGGATGGTGAAACTCTGCCAGGTGAACTTGTGAACCCTGGGCCAGCACTGAGCCGGGGCAGAGACTTTTGGGGTGTTGGACTTTTGGGACTTTGGGGGGATTTGTGGCTGGGGGGAGGGCCTTTGCTCGTGTTTAGTCTGGGTCTGTAAATCTGGGTCTGTAAATCCGAGTTGTGGTGTTGGTTACCTCATGTTATTAAAGGTTTGCTACTACAGGCAGTCCCCGATCCGACTTACGTCGGACCCGCACTTACGAACGGGGCTTTCTCGCCCCGGAGATCGCAGGCAGCGGTCAGCCACCTCGACCTCCGGGGCGAGAAAAGCTGCTCCCGGTGCCCCTGTTCTGCTGGGGACCGTCTCCAGCAGACCAGGGACACCGCGAGCAAACCCGCAGCAGCGGCGTGTTCCCCCGCTTCTGAGGCTTTGCCAGAGCAAAGAATAGAGCTATCTTCTGTGCTTATAGTGTGCCTCCAAAGTAACTGAGCTCTTGATTCCCCAATTTGCAGATGAGGAACACGAACACACACAGGAGGTCTGAGGTACAGCTGGGAACTGAAGCCAGTTCTCCCAAATCCCAGACTGGCATCTAAAACAATGGAACATTCTTCTTTTTCTCTTCCAATTCTACTTCAGAACTTTAAACTTACAAATTTATTTTAGAACAAAATTAATAGTAAGGCTGGGCTGGAATGGGCCTTGAAATGTTAGCTAATCCTGCCCCCTGCACTGTGGCAAGGCCAAGTAAACTTCCTAGACCATCCTCTGACAGTCATTTGCCTAACCTGGTCTTAAATCCTCCAATCATGAGGATTCTACGTCCTTTAAATGATTAACCCAGTCCTTAACTATCTCCATAGTTAGAAAGTTCTCCCTAATATCTAACCTCTTTCTGCAGTAAGCCCATTACTACTTCTCCTACGTTCAGTGAACACACAGAACTAATTACCGTCTTCTTTATAACAACCTTCAACGTATTTGAAGACTTACTTAAGGCTAAACATGCCAGGTTTTTCGGTCTTTCTTCACAGAACAGTTTTTCTAAATATTTTTTTTTTAATCCTTTTCATTTCTCTCCTCGGGACTCTCTCCAATTTGTCCACATCTTTCTGAAAGTGTAGTAGGGCCCAGAACCAAACACAGTATTCTAGCCAAGTTGTACCAGTGACAAGAAGAGTGGGACAGTTGCCTCCTTCAGCTTACATATGGCACTCCTAATACACCCTAGAATAATACTAGACTTTGTAACAAGTGCATCATACTGAATTAATGAACCCCTGTACCCGCCAAATCCTTGTCTGCAGTAATACAGCCCAGATAATTACTTTATTTTTTCCTTCCTAAGTACAGTCCTTTGCACTTATCTTTACTTAACTTTATCATGTTGATTTCAAACCGTTTACACACAGCCAGTGTAGACAGGCAGCAAGTTTTTGCGCAAGAGCGGACGCTTTGGCGCAAGATCACGCCAGTGTAGACCCAACCCATGAATTTATCTAGCTTCTCTTTAAACTCTGTTATAGTTCTAGCCTTCACAGCCTCCTCTGGCAAGGAGTTCCACAGGTTGACTATGTGCTGCGTCCAGAAGAACTTTCGCTTGTTAGTTTTAAACCTGCTACCCATTAATTTCATTTGGTGTCCTCTAGTCCTTATATTATGGGAACTAATGAATAACTTTTATTTATTCACCCTCTCCACACCACTCATGATTGTATATACCTCTATCATATCCCCCCTCAGTCTCCTCTTTTCTAAACTGAGAAGTTCCAGTCACTTTAGCCTCTCTTCATATGTTCCAAACCCCTAATCATTTTAGTTGCTCTTTTCTGAACCCTTTCCAAGGCCAAAATATCTTTTTTGAGGTGAGAAGACTACATCTGTACACAGTACTCAAGATGTGGGCGTGCCATAGTTTTATACAGGGGGACTATGTCTACACTGGCATGATTTTCCGAAAATGCTTTTCACAGAAAAGTTTTCCGTGAAAAGCATTTTCAGAAAAGCATGTCTAGATTGGCAGGATGCTTTTCCGCAAAAGCATTTTTTGCAGAAAAGCGTCAGTGGCCAATCTAGGCGCAGTTTTCCGCAAAAAAGCCCCGATCATTTTCGCGATTGGGGCTGTTTTGCGGAAAACACTACTGTGCTGTCTACACTGGCCATTTTGCGCAAATGTCTTTCGGAAAAAGACTTTTGCCCGAACGGGAGCAGCACAGTATTTCCGCAAAAGCACTGACGATCTTATATGAGAAAACTTTTCCGTTAAAAGCATTTGCGGAAAATCATGCCAGTCTAGACGTAGCCCAAATGTTTGCTTTTGGGCAATATCAGCAGGAGGCTCGGAAAAACCAATGTGAAAAGCACCACCTAGTGGTGCCAACCCACATCAGATGAGCTTTGCTGTAAACATTCAGACCAGCATCTAAGTAATGGCTGCTGCCTGAAGAGGACTGAGTGATACATGGGCAGGTGA